CGTAGAGCATTGGTGAGAAGCTGAACCGCTTGCTGACGTACATCAACAAGTGGTTGTGGAATGATTCCAGCTCACAGGTTGATCTGGAGAAACAAATTAGCCTATGTTCATATTTCGAGTAGTATTCAAAACATTGTTCACAGATGACTACTGGTGACTAATTCCATTTTGAAACCGACATGAAGGTGCTTCCATAAGTTACCTGAAGGTTAGATATCGGTGGACATTTCTGAGCCATCTCTTTTTTAGAACTATTGCTTCCAGTGCCTTGTGAGCTTTGGAACCACTCTCCAGCCATTGCTTGTCTTGGATTTCTGGCAGGCTACCGTGCAGGCAGTGACCGAGGTACCATTCGTGCTCATTTGTAACGTGGTGAAGCACCCTGCTCCATAGTTTCTAAAATACAAATCTTTTAATCAGAGCATACAGTCAAAGAACAAATATTGTCGGTATTGTAATGTGTTTTATAATAAGTATGCTGTGCACAAATACAATGTTATCCTAAAACGGAATCTCACTGCATTGTACTTGATACATGTAAGTTTGCTACATGGAAATGTTGTTGTATTTAGTCACAGGTCGAGATGACTACTGGGAGATATATTACTTACAATGAACTGCTGTACCGTGTCTGCCTTCTTACAACAGAACCAGAAGTGATTCACAATGTCCTTGACCCAGTGCAGCAGGATCTTTTGTCCAGATTGCTGTGCCTCCTAAGTATGCATATAACAGATGTGGTTGAATACATTTTAGAATATAAACATTATCATAACAAATCTGCAAAAGATATAGGTTAAAGTATTTATAAAGATATAATTTATAAAGATATAAACATACTGCAGTAATCATCTTGGCTAAATTCTTTGCTCCATGCCGTATGTCCCATGACTGCAGAATTCCAGTGTCCTTATATCACCCAGTTGTTTGATCTTGTAATGAAAAACAAAACTACTGACTATTCATACACCTTTGTTGAATATCAAATATATATTTTGCTTGTATATAACATGGCAAGTACTACCAACTTACTCATAATCGATGCGATTTGTGCGTGAGCATCGGTACATATTTCTGAAATCAGCACTTCTCTAAGAAGCTTGTCCATTGTGGTTACAAAAGCCTCTTTCTCCATTATGACAGAATTACGATTGGTCTGCCTTTTATCAATAGTGACAACTGAGATGATTTCCTTAGAATCATTCTCCATTGCTGTGTACGAGCAATACTGGGCACAGTATCCGGGGCTATCCATTCGTCCATCTGCTGTGTAGTGCACAATAAATCAATAAATAAGATTGTGTTTCATATTCTGGAAAAACACACAATAAAAAATAAAATAAAATCTGTAGAAAAATTAAACAAGAGGCTAAAAAATTATAGAAATGTAATCATTTTTAAAAAAAGATTTAAAATATTACGCATAACACCTTTCAGCACGTAGAATGACGTAGGTATTGCATAGATTTTTTTAAAATGCCATAGGACTTACCTAATACAACTTCACCATCCTTACTCTTCATACGTTGAATTGCAGCACATCTGTTGTCCTCCCACATGTCCTTTATTGCTCCTAAGCAGTAAGTATCCTGTATATTTAAAAAAGTGTTCTTTCCAACAAAGCCCATGCTCATGTAATTAAACAGGTGTGACACTTTGTAGTAGTTATTTCCCGACAGCAGAATGTTGGTGGCCATCATGAAGTCCCCTGCCTGCATTCCAAAGTTGAGTGTAGGCTGCGAATTCCAAGTCCATACTTTGTGGTCATTTGAACATATCTATAATATAAAATACACAAGAGTGATTGCAATGCATACAAACAGCGAATTTTCAAAAATTATCTTTTATTGAATTAACATGTATATGGATTACAATTAAAACAGTTTCCAATTCCAAAGACGACTTTAAAAGTATGTGTATTCAGTTATACATAATAAATTATACAACATTGAAAATGTATCTTGTCCACACAAATGATTAAACTTGTGTGTGTAGGTTCACTAAGCTGAATAGAGATTTTGAGAATATAATATACATATTTTTTATAACGACAACAACAATGTTTTGCGTGACATGCACCTATTAAATATACAGAATTATTGTTATTTATTTTTTTATTACCCATTGGATGACATTTGCTGTTCCTCTTGAAGTAAGGTGGACTTCAAAAGGTGGTGAAGCCTGGCAGGTTTTACAATTCACCACTGGTAGCTGTGGAAGTTTGACCAACTGTTTCAACTGTGCTTCATATACAATAGATGCCCGTTGTCCAATTATGTCCTCCTCACACATGACTTTGTTGCTAGCATAAGTTTTGAGGAGATGATCTTCATGTAGGGGTATCACTTCATCTTCTTGTGTGAGATGAACGGTCTCTTCGAGATCAATCACTTTAAGCTCCTCGATTTTTCTGAAGTCATTAGTTCCTTCACCCGTTCTGTAAATATATAAATTAGTGCTGGGCCGTTATCGGCGTTAACGTGCTGCGTTAACGTGAGACTCTTATCGGGCGATAAAAAAAATATCGCCGTTAATCAAAGTTGGGTTGGGATCATAATAGCTTTTTCGAATATCGTTATATTTTCGCGCAATTCTAATGTGTAGTATGACGCCGCGCCTACTGTCACAGATCGCGCAGTAGGGTATTTTCCTGTCAGGGACACAAGGTGTACTTTTACTTTGTTACGTTGGGCGACGTTCCTCTCGTTACTTTATTTTAATGCAATACGTTTTTAAATGAGTTTATTCCAAGCGCGCTGTGTCCTTGTATGGGCATGAGCGATGCTCATTTACAAATGAATCACTCTTTTGAGTCGATTCTGTTCAAAGACTTCATCAAACAAGTTGTCAGATGATCTGTCTAAATCGGTTGGCGAATCAGTTGATCTGTTCAGTTCCTCGCGCACTGAATCGTCTGAAGCGCTTTCAATTCACACTCGGAGTCGAAACAGGAAGATTTAAGAGCATCAAGAGCGCTGGATGAAGTGGCCGATCTACAGTCTAGTGGATGCAAATCTGCAAATGTATCATATTTTTGCCAGCGATGAAGATCTTTATTAGTTGAACATCTTCGTAAGCTGTCTGTGAATGAATGATTCCACAGGACGATACATTCGATTTCATTTCATTCAGGTAATACATTGTGTGTGTATTGCGCGTGTATTGCGCAGTGGCATAATCACACGAATAGTTTACATTGATTGAAACTAATTTGTTTAAAAATGAGGCTATTGCAGTAACAAGGCAGGTTCACATAAAATTCTTATGACATATGATGACATTATTTATTGATCTAACGAGCATTGGCGATGCAAAAACGGACTGTCGTGCGTATTGTTTTTTTCTTCTTCCAATTAGCCTACTATGTTAAAAAAAAGGACGAAAACATGTTACTTGTTCAATTAATACACAGTTTGTTTGATGACAAATCGCTAAAGATGAAATTGGCCTCCCTTTCTGTCATTGCGTTTTTTTTGTTTTGTTTTTTTAAACGATATTCGACTTTTGCTCCTCGATTGTCGAATGGCATTTTTGGCAGAAATGCACATCCCTACGCGAGGCAAACTATTCTCAAAGACTTACTTTTAGTCATTATTTGGGTAGCACACATATTCTGAATGCCTTCGGGAGAATTCAAATGAGCCATTTTAATCTAGATTAATCTAGATTAATTTCAATATTAATCTAGATAAAAAAAAAAAATCTATGCCCACCTCTAATATAAATATTTACAACATTGTATTATTAACATGTGCAAGATAAATGATTGTCTTTTCTATACATTCATTTTGTTAATAAAAAGAAAAAAAAATGTGTAACGACCTAAGAGTGGCCTAGAAGCCAAAACCGTTGATAATTTAACAGTTACGGTAGGTACATCAACTAATATTATTTTGTTTTATGTCTTTTTCAACCTAATAACATGCTTCATGCAGACAAACTTAAGACAGATAGAGGGAACATAGTCCTCATCAGAATTGCTTTCCTCACTGTCTATTTCCCATGATGTATCATCTGGGTGTTTAAATTCAATTCTGTAAAATACATAATTAGTAGTGGTAGAAGTAATACTAAAAACAATAACTAAATACAATATACAGAGAATTGCACAAACAGGAGTAGACAGCAAACAGCATTTTGTAACAATCCAATCCACCACTTACACTGTGTTCTGAAGATCATTGGCATCTTCGCTCACAGTAATGGTGGACTCAAAACTGCACCACACCAAAAATAATAAAAGATTATTGGTTTGTAATGGTGATATGCATAACACTTGATTGGTTATGCCAAACTGCAATTTGTCGCTTGTGGTGCTCAACTATATGATAAAAATTCTAAAAATAAGACTAACACCGTGTTCTGTATACAATGTTTATGTCAGTAAAGGATTGAAAACAATTACTCACCTGTCAATTAAAACACATCCAAGATCGGGGTCTCTTTCTAGTTCAAGTTTTTCACGAAGTTCTCTCCATTTAGGAAATGCCACACCGATGTTGATACTGGTTTTATTTCTCTTCTTGTCCCAAATTCTTCTTGGGTCGTTTGGTTGACCCGTTCATTGACGTTTACGTTTATGGGACTTGTCTTTGTCGGCAGAACCAGCTGCAATTGGTAAAGAATAATTGTGTTCCATTACGACTGCACGAAACAAGCTGACGTATGTTGCTTGATAGATGTTGCAACTACAACTTCCACATTTGTCCAAGACTCCACGCAGTACGAGCGGAAACCGAGGGTAACGTGGATATGACACCACTGACTGGCGACTCCCAGCTCACCCCTGCTCACACGTCCCGTTTCCTTGGCTAAAATAGCAATTTTCTCACGAATTAAAAATAGTTGGAAACATTTGGAATATTGTAAGTTATCTACTTTACAAAATATATAACACTGGCCTTGTGATTTGGGGATATTTTAATGCAAAAATCTTGCATATTGTACCTTTAACAGAAACTTTTGCATGAAACCTTTGATACCTCAAAATACCTCAATGACTGACAATTAACATGTAATGATCATTACACCTGTAATAACTTGTTTTTCAAGGACTGTATCCTTGCTGTGTACTCTTTTCCCAGGTTTAAGATAATCTTCTGGACTGCCTCGAATGTGTACCTTAAGTCCTTAGGGTACTCCATATTTACAGCATAAAGCAGACCAAAGAGCATCATGAGGGCATTTGTGAAGTATCCCAGATTGTCCATGACAACTTCCTCCTCCAGTACTACAGCCACATTGACCACTGTGGGAAATGGTCCTGAGTTGGTAGAACTGTCAGTCACTTCCAGGATCCTCATTTTCATGGCCTTTGTGTGTGGCCCCAGTGCCTCAGTATCCTGTGAAACACAATAAATGACACTTTGTGTTAGACTGAAAGCAAAATGTCTTATGCAATCATTACTGCATCTCAAACAGTAATACCATAAAGATATTCAAATTAATTACCTTAATAGTCTTTGAAATTGAAGCTGGCTCTATCAAGTACAGGGGAAGACCACGAAGAACAGCAGACCTTCTATAAGTAGTTAGATCTGTGGTCTGCCAAAAAGACAGGTCATCAATAAGACATTATTAAGTCACCTTATTCACAAAGAGGTTACACATCTACTCTACCAACAGTTTAGGATCACCTACTCCTTTCACCATTGGGCTTCATTACAACCAACTTCATGAAATAGTTACCTGAAATACATTAAGATTACAATCTGCGAGGGATAATCAGCTAACAAGTGCAGCAAGTATGCAGACCTTAAGATGTTGGAATAACATTCACAGAGTCTACTTAGGTTAGATACTGAGAGTGGTTTTCTAACAGTCCTAAAATAGATCTCAAACATGCTGTGCGCTTGTTGGCTGTTTTTTGTTCAGTCATATTGACCAAAATCATGTCAGGGGACTTTCATGAGGCTGGTCAAGATGAACCAATGGTGAAATTAGTAAATTTTGCACAGTAGTGTATGTAGGTGCTGGTCAAACGGAGCTATATGGTAGGAGAAAAACAGCTTAATACTACACCAAAATATTTCTTTGTAATGCATGCATGTTGATCACAAGGTCTTAAAGCTGCAGTCGGCAAGTCTGGCAGATTGAGTGGATTTAGGAAAATTTTGAATGTTTACAACTCTCATGCCCCTCCCCCACTATCAACGGATACCCTCCCACCGAGTTTGTGCTCGTCAGTGCGTGTGCACCAGATTTTCAGTGAACGCGCCCGTCTCATCAGCATCCATCAACACCATGGAGTATTTGGAGGTATGCTGTCCTGGCTAATCTACCGATAGATTGCAATTGCTAACGTCATTTATACTCTAAATGAGCTTACTTGATTTTCCGCCATCACTCTTCGTTACTGCGTGAACTTCCGGGAACTTCAGGCGTGTGCATGTGATTGTAACGTGCGCGAGGGGTGGTGTGTGCCCGATCTGTAATTGACAGTCAGATCTCACACCCCCCTGCGCTGATTGGACCCGATGAACCGGGAGCTGTGGATTTTTGCAAAACAAAAAACACGCTCCAGGGGGAGTTAGAAGCTCGTTTTTTTTTTCTAAAACCACTTTATTTATGTTGTTCTGTCAGATTATAGTGTCGATTTCACTAAATATGATCAAAAAAATGTTGCCGACGGCAGCTTTAATCAGGGAAGTTGACTGCTTTGCCCATTTTGTTATCCATACCAATTGAAACAATAAAATAGCACCATAATCAAAGTCTCACCGAGGTTCCATGTACACCCCATGTAAATAAGATAACGTAAACAATACGTGTTACATCCCATAAAGAAAAATAAGCCATCATCTCTGAACACCATTTATGGCATCCATTATGTTATGTATTTCTGGGATTTGTACATGTATTGTAGATCATCAACATCAAGTATACATGGAACCTTTTTGACACATTCTGATCATATAATGTAATTTTATTGCTCACATAATGAGCAATGGATAAATGTCACAAGACAAAGAATCAACTCAACTGACAGAGACCTTGAAATTAAAATGTTGAGTTTTGCAGTTAAGTTTTTGTGGAGCAGTGAGCTGTTGGCAGTTTCTTCTCTTAAACGGGTCTCAGTAAATTATGCTACACTGTTTAACACTGTTATATTTTATACAAAGAAATTATTAACATACCTGGGCATCCAGTTTCTCCAGAAGTTCATCCAAGTTGTTCCACCTTCCCTGTCTTGCTTTGGCTCTGTACATCTTCAGCAACCCCTGGGTGTGATTGTCCAGCGATGTCAGGAATGTTGACTTCAGGTCAATATGGTTGATGCGGAAGAATTCAGCACAAACCTGTGGGTAATGAAAGATTCAGAAGCAAACAAGTAAAAGCAAAGCAAATTATTTCAAGACATTCAATTCCAAGGGTGACAGAGGAAAAAATGACTTACCTCCTCCTCAAAAAACAGTCCTGGCAATCTTTGCTTGATTGTTGACACCAGCGGCTGATCCTGCACAATTTCCTTTATCCTCAAGGAAAATGTTGTCTCCATCTTTGCATTCAAAACGGTCAAGGTCAAATTTCTCTTTTTCACTTCTTCCTGCATAAATTACCTTTCCTTCTCCAATTCTTCATCCAAACCAACAGGATGGTCGGGAAGAAAGTTGAGTTCAGATCTTCTGGGTCTCTTGAGAGATCCTCGAGATGAACCTTGTCTAGAGTGGATATTCACAGCCATCTCACTGCATCCTGCATTGCAGAGTTTCTGACGATAATTAGCCATTTTAAACTTCAGGCTAATTTTCCATGCTTCACATCCTGTCATGTCAGATCCTGGGTCTTTGAGACTGGGGTGTTTTTCTACCAAAGCAGATGCAACCTTCTCTATTTAAGAGTCTTTTGGGTAGGCTTTGTAAGACACAGTTTCAGCCAATTTGTCCAAGATATTCATTTTCATGTCTCTTGGAACAATCAGGGCTGTTCCATTTTCTTGAAGATCCTCATTAGCTTTTTTCAGCCTCAACTCCACATCATATGAAAATGAAGGCACTGGAAACATGCTTGGCCACTGCTCAAATCTAGATGTAGAGAGAGGAGAAACTAAATGGGGTGATGAAGCTGATGACTGAGTCGATGTCATGCTTGCTGTATCCACAGTGAAATCTGAAAGGTGAGCATCGTCCACCACTGGGCTTAAAACTACTTCCCAGTGGATCCTTAAAGTTACTTCCCAGTGGATCCTCAAAGTAGCCTTGTCTTTTGGAAGCTCTGATGTCATTTAAAGTACAAAGTTCATTGTTGAAGTCAGGGTCTTCATACTGGATAACAAAACTTCCCATTATCTGCATTTTTTTCACAGAGAACTGCAGAGAGTTCTTCAATTGACGATGGTGTGGGTATTGATAACTTCCTGATGTTGTCAGGTGAGAGAATGATTCGAAGTAACATTGTTTCCTGGGAAAGAAAATTAAGAGATTAAATTTTAGCAAAGTAAAAATCTCTTAGCAGACACCATAATCTTTCCACCTACATTGTATGATGCCAGAGGGTAGAAATCAATGAGATCGTGTGGGTTGACAATGGCTACATTGCAGTAAGTACTTCCAACAATTTCATATGCTCTAAAATGTTCAAAGTACCATGAAGACAGTTGTTCCACTATGAATGAGACCTCTGTGCCAACAACCAGAATACTGTGAATTCGACCAAACTCTGGAAAGCCATCACTAAGTCCAACTGGTAGAATCATTCCTTTACTATACAAAGTCCTAAGCAATGTTGCATTTGTTGCCAGGGACAAGGAACTCAGATTTGGATATTTGTTTTCAACAGCTGTCCGCAGCCGTGATTCAACAGCTGACAATTTGACCACTTTCAATTTTTCAACATGAAATGGTGCTTTGAAGAAATTTTGAACGTCCAAAGCACAAGCAATCATTGATTGATGCCTACTTGCCAACGTTTTGAGGGGATTTTTTAAATTGCGGGTGTCGTGCACCACCCTCTTGAAGAAGCTATGTTTCGCTTCATACCGCATTGTCCACAGATCAGCCAAAGGGCCAAAACAGCGGATCAAGTTTGGATAATGCTCAAGGTAATGATGTTTAGGTATAAACCTTTCATTGGGAAAAACATCAGTGAACAAATGGCGATGATCAGAAATTTTACTCTCTAGATAACAGAGAGATTCTTCTGATAGCTTTGAACTAACCACTAATTCCACAATGTCTTTTAAGTCCATTAAAAGTTGCCATGCTGTTTCATCCTCAGGATGTTGACCATCAATATTGACCATTAAAAATATTAAACGGGAACATGCCATGCTTAACCGTTAGGGTCAACGTTAAAACCACATGGCAGTTGGAAAGGAATGCTAAGCTTTATGAGTTAAAATGATTTTCCAGCACTGCTAATCACTGTAGGTACTCACAATAAATCTATTTCAAACTTTGTTGATAGACAATAGATATATTCTTAACCTAAATTTGCTCATTACCTCACAGCACAAAGACAGGGAACTAACTTTGAAGCACTCACCACTTCAATGTCGTGACTCGTGGTGGGGGAAATTCCAGGAGCCTGGTAGAACTCCTTTGCGCATGCTCAGACGATTGACGCAGTTCCCTCTTGCTCGGCCAACATAATATTTTTTGTGCAACGTTAAAAGTTCTGTGAACACAATTATTTATTTTCTCTTGATGAACATTTTGTAGTACAGTCGTGGAAATCATGCAATCATTGACCACACCAATTTTTCTTTTTTGACACAAACATTATGTTGAGCCAACATGTATTTCCTCATTTGTTCAACTTTTTGCATCAATCATGTTTTACAGCAGGGGTGCCCAACCCTGCTCCTGCCGATCGACTGTCCTGCACAGTTTATCTCCAACCCTAATTAAACAACCTTAATAAAATTAAACGTTTTATTAAGAGGTAATCCAAAACAGGCAAGGTCAAACACAGGCAGGCAGTCCGTACAAACAAACACACAAAGCAGGCAGGGGTCAGAGGCAAAAGAGTAATCCAAAACAGGCAAGAAATCCAAAAAGACCAAGAGACAAGAAAACGGGGAGAATGCTCAGAATTGGCTTTATGCCACAGCTTCACTACTTCCTGAACTTCAGCCAGCCCTTTGTTTCCTGTCTGTCATTATTGGCCAAACTGATTAATCCAGGTGTGCCTGGCCTCAGTAACAATAATCAGGCACACCTGGATTAATCAGTTTGTCCAATAATGACAGACAGGAAACAAAGGGCTGGCTGAAGTTCAGGAAGTAGTGAAGCTGTGCATAAAGCCTATTGCAGTGTGACACTAAAACAAGACTTCGCGGTGAGTGAATTAATGAACTTGGTATAAATAGACAGACTAACAGGATGATGAGACACAGGTGAATGCAATCAGAGAATGAGGTACAGGTGAATGTGATCAGTGATAAGTGATGGTGAGTCCGGGCAGTGAGTTATGGGAAATGTAGTTTGTGAGTGATAATAGTCTTATCTGGAGTGCCCTCTGGTGGCTCTCAAGGGCACTCCAGCTGGTGACCGTTACAGTCTGCCTTCCTGCAACCACACATGTACTGTACATCAGATTCACATACATTTTTTGTGATATCAAAGCCTTCAGCAGCTTTTTCCAGAATATTCTTATCATTTAGAAGTTTAGATTGTAATGGAGGCAGGCCCCAAAGATAATTTAAATCAGAAATCTAATAAAATAATTAAATGGGGTATTCTGATTCAATTATCACAGGTGCCAGACAAGCTCAATCTTGTATAAATTTTAATTTTAAAACATTTTTAAAAAAGTTAAAATTTCTAAATAGTTTTTTTTCTCACAAATCAATAATAGAACACACACAAACAAAATAACAAATATTAGCACTTTGACCAAGATCAGGTACAGTCTTTCCAGTAGTTTTTTGTAACGTTATTCAACAATAATAAGGACAACAAACTTAAAATACTAAGAAAAATGTCTGAGGAAGAAGTATCACTGATCTTTGAGACCTCGGCAGATTCAACAGGCTCAACAATAAGGTAGACTGAGAGAAGTATCTATAAAATAAAATAAAAAACAAGGAAAAAACAGTTCATTCTCAAAACAGAAATAGTTCATTCTTACATTGAAAACATATACTATACTTGATTATACTTGAAATCAAATGAAACATGTATATCGCAAGTGTGTACAGGAATGTTTGTGAATGTCACGAGTGGCAATAATTGTGTGTTGTGTGAGTTTGTGTGAGATGAGCCGCTGACCAATAATGTCAGGGAGGTAAAACTTTGAAAGTTAAGAGGGTGAAGGATTGTAAAAAGGATTTGACCTGGAGAACCTGACCGCACTGTTCAGCTTCTCTCTGTAGCTGGCGTCTGAAGATGCAGACACAACACTCCAGCAATCACACTGGCAACTTCTGCTCAAGCTTGCCCAAACACAGCGAGGTCTTACCGTCTGGTTATTTGATTTCCCTTGTCT